GAAATTACTAAAGATATGGCAGATATGTCTTTGAATATAGTAAAAATGGCTAAAAGCGTTAATGCTGTTGCTAAAACTGTTAAAAAATCTCATCGATATTGTTCAAATTGTGGTAGAATAGGATATAATTCTCGTAGCTGTTCTTGAAAAAAAATAAAAAGAAGTATAAAAAGAAAGGCAAAATTAATAATGCTCGTATAGATTCTGACTCAGATACTTCTACTAATGAATCTGAATCTAATTCTAATTCTAGCTTTGAAAGTTCTTTATCTGAATCGGAGTCTGAAGCTGAAATTGATGTTAATTTATCTCAGCAAAAAAAAAGTGAAGAAAAAATATAGCGCTAGTACTTCTTTAGAGAAGAAGAAATCAAAGACTTACAAGTCTCATAAAGTAAAAGATACGGACACACCTCCCTTAGTATCAGTTCCTACTTCCAAAAAGGAAAAGCAAAGTTTAAAGCCCCTGTTACAGGATGAACAATCCCACTTAGAAAAAATTATTAAAAAAAATATTGAGAAGGTGCTTAATGAAAAGTTTGGCACTATTACAACCCCTCTTTTCAACCAGAAGCTGAAATTTCTAAAATACCAGCTGATTCTGAGGATGATGAGTTTATTGATGACCCTATAGAGATAGATTTTGTCCAGAGAAAAGAATCTGCCACAGATGTTGTTACTACTAAATGTAAAATCAAGTACTTGGTAATTTCTGGGGCTATAGTTGACCCTGGTGCTAACTTCGCAATTATGTCTGAGGACATTGCCAAATGATTGAAGCTAGAGATTGATACGAAAGAAAAACATGACCTTAGGGTATTGCTACTACTCCTACAGAATCTCTTGAAATTGTTAGAAACGTTTCAGTGAATTTCGCTCCCAGGTGTACCATATATGCCGATTTTGTAGTAGTTAAGTATTCTAAGCCGATGCTTATTTTACCTAATACATTGCTTGATAAATATAACTATGATTTACTTGCTTCAAAGTGAGAATTGAGACTAGAATGTAATGGTAAGGAATTTTTTATTCCAGTCAATATGCACAAGGTCAAGAACAAGCTCAAGGTGAATTGCGCAAACATAACTCTGAATTGTGATGATTTCTCAACTCCGGATAATATATCACAGGACTCACAGGAGTTAAGTGGGTATGACGATGTATTAAAAAAAAATGCATGACCTATGAGGAGCTTGAAAAAATGTTATATACCACTCTCATTTCTGAAGCTAAATTAATTGAGATTAATAAAAACCTCTGATCTCTTTTTTTATGTTAACTATTATTAGAGTACTTTTGCTGAATATAATAGGCTAAAAGATGAGTTATGAGCTAGACATTTTTCTGATTTGCGTATAGCTTCTTCTGCTTTGATATGATTTTTTCCAATTGAAGCAATTAGATCATATGAGATGTCTAGTAAGAAATTTTGGCAGAAGCCTTCGGTTGAAATCTCAGGTAAATCAGAACTTTGAATGGGTTTGGGTTTTGATGACTTCTTTTTCTTTTTTTGCTTTTCCTGTACACTATCCAAGAGGAACCCACCCATCTCAATGAACTCAAAAAATGAAGGGGTCCTAGACGAACTAGATAATTCACTTGTAATTGATCGTCTAACAACTTTAAAGATCCTACATTTAGATAATTGTTTTTTTTTTCTTGGAGGTCATTTTCTGAAGGAAGGACTGATGAGATGGATTGTACTTTTCTAAGCTCCTCAAAAAAGTGGTTTCTATTTTGCTGTGAACGCTCACAATCATTCTATATATTATGAACACGATCTTTATTAATATAGTACTCATTTATTATCATGTACACCGGAATCTTATTTTTGAGATATCTAATTTCTTCAATCTGTCCAGGTGTTAAAATGGTGGCACCCTGCCGATAATGGGTTTTTAAAATCAAGGTAGACATAATCTTCCGATATTTTTAGACAGTATATTTAGATGCATAAAAAATATTAGGTATTAATATTTATCATTTTAGATAGATAATAAAAATTAGAATTCAATATTTATTATTTTAGAATGAGAGGAGACATTAGAAAGCATAATTTATTGTTTTAGGTGGGTAGAATACATTCTAATATGCTATCTAAAATAATAATAAAAACAATCGATAACCTTTGTGTTTATTTTTTATTTATTGTGATTATTCTCTAACATAAAATTTGAAAGTTTTTTTTTTTACCTGTTTATGGCTAATGTAAATAAATGGGAACATATGATCTTGAGAAAGAGATACGTCACATCTTACAAGACTTATCCAAGATACAAGATTATAATGCTAAGTTGCGGAACGAATATATAAAGATCAATGATGAGGCTAGACGTTTGAAAGTTGAAAATTCTAAACTTTTTTCCCAATATGCTTGCGCGAAGACTTCTCTCGCCAAATATAAAGCAATGTTATGCAAAATCAGAGGAAGTGAAATCGCTTTAATCTGTGATTAATTCATTACTTCTGGGATACTTTGATAAGAATAATCAGCCAGATGGTTCTGAGAGAACCGATTCATATATAAAAAGTGGT